TGTAAACTTGACCTATGATCAAAGATTCCCCTTGTGGATTCTTAATACAAATTATAATAAAGATAAAGGCAAAACCTCACCTTAAAAAAAAAAAAATAATAAAAAAATTTATTGATATGCATTCTAAATATAAGTCATCACTAATAAACTCTTCTGAAAAATTATTATTAATATTAATGCTGTTACTTGATTCTTCTAAAAAATCAATATCAATATCTTACAGTTACTTAATTCTTTAAAAAACTCTATATTATTATCATAATTTTTAACCAATTCATTACTAATATCTTTATGTTCTTTCGCAAACAAGTTGGTATTAAAATCTTCTTGTTGCAAAGAAGAAATATAAGAAAATTTTTGTTTATTAAAAGAAATAGTATTTTTATAATTTTTTAATTTAAATTTATTTTGTAACATGAGAGATTTTTTTTATAAGTAGAGTTTAGTAAAAAAAATAAATGTAAAATATTTACAATCATAATTTATTTATTTATTAATTTTATTAAATTTAACTATTAACAAAGTATTTAAAATTTATACAAGATTTATTGTTATTGGTTACTATAAATAAATAATATTTTAAAATTTAATAGTAATTAATATTTTAAGTTCAAAAATTTGTAAACAAAAGTTTAATTTAACATAATTAATAATTACTATATGTATAAAATCATAATAAATCAATTATAGTAATATAAATTTTAAGTTTTGTAAATAAAGTTTAAATTAAACTATTTAAATTGAACTATAAAATATATTATAAAGTATCAAATTTTAAAAGTTTAAACAGTAATAAACATTATAAGTCCAAAGTTTATAAGCAAAAATTTAAATTTTATATATAGTTTATTTAGTATCATTTTAAGATTGTTTTGAAATTTAATTATAAAATATTCTATAAAATGTAAATAAAAATTATATAAATAAGATATTTAAATTAATTTGATTATTTTTATAAAGATGCAAAACAATTCTTTTGCAATGTTAAAATAAGGCCATTCTTCTAAGTCATCTTTAAAAAATAAGCAAATAGCTGAATCTTCTATATTTAGACAAAAAACCACTTTAGTGAAAGCAAAACAAAGTACAGAAATTTAAATATTAAAATCATTTTAAATTTTTTTTAATTTTAATTTTTGTTTAGCCTGTTCTTTTAAACCTTTTTTGAAAAAAATATTTTAAGAGAAATAACTTTTTAAGCAAATAATAATACTTTTAAAGATAAAAATAAATCAATATCTCAAAAAGATATTTTAAAAATTTTAAAAGATATGCAAGTTGATAATGAAGAGTCATTAACTTATTAAGATATACTTATTTTTTTATTAATTGTTATTTTTTTTATTTGAATAATAATTAAATTTTTTAATAGCTTCACCAAAAAAAAATTATGATTATTTTGATGATTTCTTATTGGTCTTATTTATTAACAATTATAATTTAATAGTTTAATAACTTAAACCTATATTAAAATAGGTAGTTTACAAGAACAAAACATTGATCAAATGCAAGAAATTGATCAAATACAAGAAATTGATCAAATAAATAAAGTTGACCAAATTCTGGCAACATTTAATAATATGAAGGATGTCTTAGAAGTGTGTAATTAGCTAATTAGCATTTATATAATTAAAATTAGCTAGCTAAATGCATATAGTCTTTTTATTACCAGTTATATATGCAAGTAAATTTGGTGAACCTTTTAATTCCTTAGCTATAAGTTTTGCAAATACTATTGATAATAGGGTATATTATATTTTTATAATAATAATTTAGAAAGAATATTATAACTTATATGAAGATTTGTTATTTGCATTATAGAAACACAAAATTATCTTAATTATAGATTTAATTTATGTGTTTCTATAATATAAATAACAAAAATTTGTGTAAATTATATTATCTTTTATTTTTTAAAAAAATAACTAGTTTTTTTTAGAATAATGCTTGTTTATAGAATGAAGAGATCAAATATCTTTTTCTTCAAATGAGAAATTCTCTATTAACATGTATTAATAAATATTAAAAGAATTTTTGGATATTTATCATATTTAATGAAGAAAAAGAAATTAAAACCAGAACAAAGAAGTCTTTAAGTAATTTTCATCACAAATTAAATCTATCAGTTATAAAACTTATTAATAATTTTAAGAAAACTCAAGAAAGATATAAAAAAAATATATTTAATAATTAACTTTAAATTTAAATTAATGTTTTTTTTTAAAAGAAGGCATAACTGTTACTTTATTTTCAAATGAAGATATAAAAAAATTTATTAATAAAAATGTGGTATCAAAATTTCTAAACTGATATATTTCAGAAACTAATAAATTTGAACTTAAAAGATATAAATCATTAGAGAAATTGGTACATTTAATTTGTGAAATGTTTAGAATTCATTAGAGAGAAAAAATATTGTCCAAGTTAAAAACTTAGATAATATAACTAAAAATATGCATATATCTTTTAGAAGTAGTCTAAATATTGCTAACAAACTTCATATTAATTAATTTTTTTTTTATTATTATTAAGGTAAGGTTTTGCCTTTATCTTTATTATAATTTGTATTAAGAATTCACAAGGGGTTTCTTTGACCAAAGGTCAAGTTTACAAATTGTTTACAAGAATGAGACTCAAACTATAGATGTACTAAGACTATCTAGTTTCATCTAATTTATCTGCAACCTAAACCTACTAGAGTGGTTAAATCTCATCTAGGTTTTGTTAGTTAAAGTATTGCTAATTTGATAGTTAATTATATTGTTAGTTGGAGTGCTATATTTGATCTATTCAGATATCCAAATAGATGTTTTCTTTTCTGCCATTCCTGTCAGTGAACAAATATTGTATTCATCTTCTATATGTTGTTGGTCTGCTAAACTGCAAATACAGTTGTAAGTATATAGTAATCTTGGATAGTGTGTGCTTCTTGTATTGTTTAAATTATTATATGTATTTGTTTGTATATATGAAGGTCGAGTCAGTATATTGTGTTGATGTTTCCAATTGACTAATTTTGTGCAGTATGGTTTCTATTTTTGGTTGTATATCACATCTAATAGTTTTGTTAAAAATTTGGTAGTAATATTAGTTGCGATTTGGTTAGAGTTTGTATATTCTTGGATTGTTTGAATGAGTAATTGAGAAACATATCCTTGTAAAGTAGTGTAGATATTTGTGCTATTTGAAGTATAGTTATTAGAAGTTAGACATTGGTGACTAAACAGTTTACTATATAGTTTTTGTAGTTCTGTAGTTGTAATTTTTAATCTGCTGGAATTGAAAAATTGTTGTATAGTATTGTTAATAGTATGGCTTAGATTTGATGTGTCAGAACAATTTAATCAGTGCTATAGTCCTTCATGTTCATTACAAGAAATGCAGCTATTGTTAATAAATGTTGATGGATATAATGAGTGAAGATGTGATAGTGTTAGTAGTATATTTAGCATTATTTGAATTTTAAAGGCTTTGTTATAACAAAGTTTGAAGTTTGTATATAGTGATGATCTTTTGTTATTGTTGTTGAGATAAGAGCATGTTGCATTTCAGTTAATTTGTGTAGCTATTAATATAATGTTTTCTATATGATGTTGTGATAACCACATTGCAATGTTTTAGACATTGCAAATGTTTTTGATAGATCTTCTAGTTGGTTGTTCAAATGCAAAGTTGTTGTATTGTAGATAGTATAATAGGTTGTATATGTTGTTATGTATGAATTCTAGTGTGTATAGATGATTTTGTTTTTTGCTAGTTCATCTGCTATGTTGTTAAATATGTTGTTGCTATGTGCAACTACTTTTTGAAAGTTGACTTCGATTTGGTAATTTTTAGTTAGATTTAGTAAGATATGCCATATTGGCCAATAGTTGTAGAAATATTATTTGTTTGGTGTTGATGGTAATTTCAAGAGTTTGTTGTACTTAAATATTATTGATTGGAAGTCTGTAAATATTGTAATCTGACTAGATCTAGGATAGATGCTAATTGCTGATAAAATAGTGATAAGTTCAGCTTTGTATAAGGAAGGCCAAAGCTTAATTTCTGCTAAATAGCTTTGTATAGTTGTGCTATTTTGAACTTGGACCCAGTCAATTCTTATTTTACATTGTTTAGATGTAATATGTGTTACTGATCTGTCAGTATAGAAGGTTAGTTGTGAGTAATTAGTATTTTGTTGTGTGATTTGTT